ACATGGAAAATAAGATCATTTGTAAAATCAGAAAATGGGATACTGAAAATGGTAAAAGTAATCCAATTACATGCATAACAACTACACATAATAAAATTATAGGAAATATCAATCACTGCAGGAATTATTGAAATTAGTATGTTTTTACAGCTGTACTTGTAAGATTATTGCTGCTAACAGTTACAGGTCACTTTATAATACTCATGTTGAATTTACTCCTATAGTACTAGTTTAACTATGTATTTGTTTTAATATTATTCCTGCTAATTAAATGAGTATTGATAAAATTATTAGCCAACAGGTGTGATAATGTGAAGACTGATGGAGTTAATAACTTTGAGTAATTTGGAAAATGTCTTCATTTCGTAAGATTTACCAGCTGGAGATAAATATGGTTTGAGTCACCGCATTATCTTGTTTTGTCAAAGTTTTAGCCAGATTTTCTTATGATATTGTGTTCAAATTTTTCAATATACACTATGACTAATTCTCTACTTTTGAGAAATCTGAAACTGTAGTTATATTAATTACATTGAGCATTTTTGACATACAATTGAAGTATGAATATGGGAGGGCAATGGAGATGTGGGAATTATATGACTACGAGTACAGTATAATTTCATTGTGCAATTCTTTTTTCCAAACATGTTTTGTAAGATGAGGAATAAAACCATAATTGTCATTGGCAGTAAATAAATATATATGTATGCAAACAATTGATACTTACAAGTCAGAATATTCAGCAAGCAACCATGTTACTAATAAACTAATAGGGGTTTCTTAGATCCGCAAAAGCCATTTCAAAGAAGTGTTTTGTTTGAACTGCTTAGGGTTCATTTTTTTAAAATATTTTTTATTTTCTGTAATTTATAGAATAGTTGTGCTTCTAAAGGGGCTGATATATATATTAAACTCTAATCATTGTAGCTATTTCCTTTCAAGAATTAGAACAGTTATAATGGGAATATATTTATGTTCTGTGTAGGCTCTAAGAATTGATGAAGGACTTAGTAAGCTTTCAGGATGTTCTCATTGTTCCAGGCATGCAACATCTAGATGGAATCCTGTGATGACCTTCGGTAAAGCATTCTCAAAATCATGAGATAATAATCATGCATAATGCCATATTTCCCATGTTTTCCATAGAGCATGGCCTTGCTCTGCTTTGAGGAAATATGGGAGATGGTTGAGTTGCCATTGTTCCTTCATTAAGGAGAACTTGAAACTTCACTCTTATGCTTCCACTTCATATAAATATATTAACTTCAAAATTGTTTCCTAAAGTTTATCTGGTGTCAAAATGATCTATAATTGAATATATTTCTAGAGAGCAAACCAATAGGCAAAATAATAAAATTCACAGTCTTCATGACTTTGCATGACTATATTTATTTTTAATCCATGCAAGTTGCTTCAATCTGCAAAGCTATGTTTCAGAGTAATCTGTGTCCATGAAAGTATCAGAAAAGTGAAATAAATTGACATAATATATTTGAATATTGATCAAATAAACCTACAATTATTTTAGGGAACAGCAGCATATGCCTACTGATACCATACCCACAAAGGAAACAATGGATGTTTCCAATTATCTCAGAGTAGTTTGTAGTCCAAAGACAATTTCTGTATTTAGAATGTCTTTTTTACCCCTCTTATCAGGATTGTTTTATAAAGCTTTTTTCTGAATTGCCAGAGAAGCAATACAAACAATACAATATGTTATATATTGTTACATTGCATTAATATTTCTAAGTAGAAATGAAAGACCAATTAGATTATCTCAATTTCTATTTTTCTACATAAATTAAGAATATTGATTATGCGATTGTGTCTTTTTTATCTGACACTTCATGAGAAAATATAAGGAGTGAGGGAATATGTAATTAATTCTCAGGAAATTAAGAAAATAGTTCTTTGTACATCACTTAGATACTAAGTTAACCTTTGTTTTGATGTATATATGGTCTATTTTATATGGTATGTGACATTAAGAAAAGAAATAATGATCAAGGGTAAAGATATGCTTTGTCCAAAATAAATGATAAAAAGTGAATTGAGGCTGTAAACTCACAGGACTTGATAAAATGGCATATTTAAAACCTTGGAATGCTTAAGCAGACTCTTTAAAAGGAATTCAGTCCTTGACTGTTCATATAAGTGTAAAATATTTAAATCTAGGAGGAGTCAAAACATGCCATATAAGGTTAGATAAGTAAAATTCATATCAAGCAACAGTCATAAAAAATTTAAGATCTAAAAGTGACTATGTGTTTGTATTTTATTCAGAAAAGCAAATTTTAGGGCCTTTTCACTTCATCTTTCTCATTCAGAATATATTTTCAGTATATTCCTCAAGCCCCTGAGGCTAGATATACACTTTACTTAAATTATATATAGTATTCTAGATTATAATAAAAACACAACCATTAGACATAGTTATGGGCTACATTGTACTCATTTCATTCTTAATGACCACATTAAAAAACAAGTCTCAATAAGGATGTACTTATTAACCTCCTCAAATATTCATCATATAAAAATTCTTTCTATAACTTCGCAAATTATATTTTACATTAAGTAGTTATATACTACTTCTCTCAGTAGTAGCATTGTCCAATATCTCCCAAAATTTTCCTTCTGTTCTCCAGTTTTTCTGCTGGAATTTTTTTCTTAATTTATATGTAATCAACTTAAAAAAAAATCTTGCATGAGTAAGATCATGTGATTATTGCCTTTCTGTGCCTGATATATTCTACCTAATATTATCATCTCCAGTTCCAGTTGTCACAAAAACAGGATTTAATTTCTTATTGCTAAATACAAGGCTATAAGTTTTTAGTTGGTAAGCAACTCTTATAAAGAGTGAAAATATGTTCATATAATTGTTTAACAAATAATTTCTCAGGTTTTTATTACAATATCTAGTTGGCATACTGAGCAAGATAAATATTTTATATAAAATTACCTCAGTTTAAAATATTTAAATGCATACTTCTGCACATTCTACTGTACTATGTGTGTATAATATGAAAATACTCAGGCAAATTTTTTGTACAAGTACATTTTATAAGAATATTTAAATCAACTGAAGCTTAGGTAAAAAAATGTGTGCGTGTGTGTGTGTGTGTGTGTGCGCGCGCGTGCGTGTGTGTGTGTGTAGTATTATAATAAATCCAATTTTAAAGGCTGTGTGTTTAATAAAGGACTTCTTATTGACTGTATTTTGAGGAGAATATACCAAATTATACAGATAGCAGTTTTTTTTTCAAACTGTAGTTCCTTAACCAGCAAAATTAACATTTATCTTTATTATTAGCAATAAAGAACAGAATAATGCCATTTGCAGGAAAATATATCATGTTAAAGGAAATATATGTAGAATTAAGATTTAAAGGAAAAAAAAAACATGAATGTAAAGTGGGAGTATTTAAGAAGAAAAAAGGCAAGTAGAACAGACTGGAGCCAAAAGAGGGTAAACAAAGATAAAGATGATGTTATTCACATATGTACAAGTTGTACAATGAAACCCCACCTTGGATATAATCAACATAAAATACTAAATTCATGTATTTTAAAGTGTATAAAGTCATTTCCACCTAACATACCGTTAACCAGTAACTCTGGAGTAGAATTTCAAGGATTTTTAAAAGCCCTTAAGTTTAAGAGCTCACTTTGAGGCAAAAGTGTTTTAAGTCTTTTAAATGCTCTCATAGGGAAGTTAGTAAGACTTCCTCAAGGAAGGAAAAGGTAAGTTAATTTATGTTCAGGACAATGCCGCCTCCATACTTCTTAGTGAATCTGACCTTATGATTAGTTTTCCAAAATTAGGTATTTTGAAAGTCCCAAAGTATGTCACATTTGCAAAATATGTGCAGTTAGGAATACCAGGGTCCAATCTCTTAGTCCTAGAAGTGTCTAAATTGTCTCTCATTAATCTGTGTAAAGCCTTGCCCTACTTCTCTTTGTTGAGCAGCCCTTTCTCCTTTGAGCATTGCCTTACATACTGCCTTTCCCGAGTTTCTTTTCATGGCAATTAATTTAAAAAATAGGACAACACCACCATACTATTAGCTGTTAGTGGTAAAGTGCTATGTGGTTCTTGAAACATGTTATTTGACTATTGATCAATGTAAGTGTATCTCTTTATTTGCTTCATTTATTTTGTAAATCTACGAGATAGTAAATTCTTTAAAGATAGGCAGAATATAGCACAATTATTCTTCACAGATATCTTGTATCATGCAGTTTTTTTTCTCTAACATGCTATAAGCCTTATTTATAGGTAAATTATTTAAAAATAATCTGAATAAACTAATATCAGGTTATCTAGTTCACCGTACCTTATTGTTGACTTATTTGAAGCTAACTATGTCAATATTTCAATGTATATATTATAATATTCTTACCTGGCATTTCTGTCATTCGTCAAATTCAAATACTAAGTTACGCATCTTGAAAAAAAAACATTTAATTAGAATTTGAATACATTGTATACAATGAGTTTTATAAAGAATAATCAGCAATCCAGTTGTTCCTTTTAATGACAAAAAATAAACCTTACAATTCTAATATCTCTCTAATTCTATGATTCTATATTATAAAATGAACTGGAAAGATACCTTGGGAATGATTATAATAATTATTTTACTAAAGTTTGCACAATAAATTATCTGTTTTTATTTTTCTTGTTTCTTCTTTAATAACTACATTCATTTTCTTCAAAGGGAAGTAATGCTTATTAATATTCATGTCTTTGGGAAAACATGTCAGTGGAAGGTATTCAATTTCAGTACAATATTGCTGTTACTGTGAGTCGGGATTAAGTAAGAATTGTAGTTAAGTGAATTATAGATGTGGCCTCTTCTACTTATACATCCTGGTACACTACTAAGAGCTGCAGTCATTATAATGAGTGACCCAATTAACTTAATTAAGATAACTTTTTGAGTGAAAACACTTAAGATTGTGCAGTTGTGAATAAAAATAAATTTGCTTTTCAGGGAGTTTGGCCGTTGGAAGGTAAATAACCTTGCAGTTGAAAGAAGAAATTTCCTTGGTTCTCCTCTGCCTCTTGCCCCTGAATTCTTCCGCAACATAAGGCTTTTGGGACGACGACCTACACTTCAGCAAATCACAGAAAATCTTATCAAGAAATATGGGACTCATTTCCTGCTGTCAGCTACTCTGGGAGGTAAGAGAGTTTGAAACTGTCTGTGCTTATGTTTGCCTGAAAATAAAATTGTATATTCACTGCAGAGGGGCATTTAATCCATATCTCTGATGTAAATGACCTTTATTATCAAAAATGTAGATGAAGAGATCAGTTAATACCTTCTAATATACACTCATTTGAATGATGAGGAAATCACTTGTTAGCTTCCTAAAAACTGCTTAGAGATCCAATATACATAAACTGTATGTATAGATGTGACAATCTATCATACAAATTGATATGGTAAATTATATTTTAAAAATAAACAGCTTCAATACAGGTGAGGGGCATCATTTCTGGTAACAGAAAAAAATATAATTTCCTGGAGTATGTGGTAAATTTCTGCAATATTTTAAAAGCTGCTGTTTTAGCAGTCTACACTTGACCTATGACTTCAGAAAGGAGAAAAATATAAAAGTAGATTACTAATCTTAAAAATTAAGATATTCACTTCTTTCTTAGGTTAGTGAGATTAAGAAACCTATCATTAAGGATAGTTAAACATGAGTTTTAGCACTGTAATTATGATTTAGCTGTTTGAATGATCCTCAAGGATGTTTAAGGAGATATAATTAAGAAACAAACTATGACATTTTTAATAAAATGTTTTTTTCAATTATGTGGTACTTTCCACATGTTCTTAATATTACAAAAAATGTATGCTTTAGAAATTGGTATTTCTGTTTCTATTATGAGACTGGTTGTAGAATTTGGATAAAGAAGCTAAGGGAAGAATATGTCCTTTCTTTTCTCCATGAATTCACAAAAGGTGACTGTGCTGATATTGTCAATGCTGTAAAGACTGCTTCTTCACGGGTCTCAGCACAGTAGGATAAGTCTTTTCTTGTTGTTGTTGTTGTTGTTGTTGTTGTTGTTGTTGTTGTTCTTGGGCACCAAATCCAGTCTGTCAGAAATTCAGTCAGTTAGTTATTTCAGAATATATCCTCTAAGAAACTCTGCCTTCACCGTGTAGGTGTAATACATACAGCAAATCATCGCATAGATGAAAGTCTCTAAAATTTATCATAGGAGTCTTCTGTGGTTCATTCTTCATCCAGTATATTTGAAAACCTGAGACAATATATGATCCCTGTTTTAGTGGGAGTTACAAAGTTGGCACCCACCATAAAATAAAATCTTGCTGTAGTTTATAAATCCCAAATTACAGATCAAGTGCTAGATTTCATCTCAAACATTATGTGTGACTCTTCTTAATATATTTTTAACTCCATTGCCTTTTAATTTACTACTTAAATCTAAGTATCTCAGATGCCAACTGAGATACCCAGTGTCAGTGTCAACTGAGAACACAGTAAACCTTGCTAATCTGTTCTATATTATTATCATTTTCCCTTGTTCATAGAATTTATACTGATTCAAAAATACTTGGTTTATTTGTTGATATTTTATGAACTCTGTCATGCATATTTTAAAAAATGGTCATCATTTCTCGCTGTGGTTATAATAGTTTTTTGCTATAAGGTAGGCTTTTGTTAAACTAATTGTTCATTACATAACTAAATGGAATTATACCAGAAGTCCAACATTGTACAGTTTTTTGAAAAATATAAATCTTAGTGATGATTATAGAGGATACCGGAATTCTAAAGAACTAATGAAATGAAAGGAAAAAATCTAAAATGGGTGAACTTTACAAAAATTATTAATGAAAGAGAATCAGGGTTCTGGCAAAGGGAAAATATGTAAAGCAAGGATAAACAGGGAAGGGCTAGAGACTTCTCGATGTCAGTCTATTGTGTCATGTCATGACACTAAAAGTGCAGATGTAGGTGGTGGACACAAATAACAAGCTATTGGAACTGCATGTAGCTCCCTCAACTCCTAGGTGAGTAATAAAAAAATAACAGAGACAAATATGTGCCAAGTTCCATCTGTCTCCCCTTTAAACTGTCAGAATTCATTAACATTTCTTTATTAATCTCCATGATTTTTGTATTTATGTTATAGTTAGGAAAAGAACAGCACCTATATAGACATCATATTGAGACTTTTTCAAATGTTTGTCAATTCCTTTAATATAGCATATACTTCAATTTCAATATTGCATTTACATTTCTTACATTATACATATGTGTGTGTGTGTGTGTAAAATGATACAATGCTACAACAGTTATGATTTTCTGTAATCTGTGTCTATTATGCTTTGTAATATCAAAAATTAAAATGTAATAAAATCAGAAGTGTGAAAATAACATTATTTCTCTAGCTTCTTCTTTTCAGAAGTTGAATATTTCAAGACATACGTAAGGCTTCCTTACTCCTTTAGCAGCAAAGCAGAGTAGCAAGAATAATTTCTATATATAAAATAAGATTTACATGTAGGGGAAACAGTAGCACATGTGGCTCCCATAGATAATAATCATTAATGTGTTATTCAAATTTTGTTGATTTTTTCCTTAATCATTTCATTAATTTTATAATATGAATCATACATTTAGTTTTTTGTTTCTGTTTTCTTTTATTGTTTTTGTTTTGGTTGTGGTTGCTCCTGCTGATAGTGAAATTAGTCATTTATAAATGGTATTTAAACTGTTCATGGGATTAAACTACATTTGGGGTGGACTGTTAGTGATACTGTGATAATACAGTGTATAGGGACTTAAATATTTACATACTTATATACTATATCTTACACAAAATTTTTGAAAGAACATTAAAAATTATTAATACCAATTGGACTGATTAAGTTAAATTGTATCATTCAACATCAATGTTGCCTATTATAAAATGTTAGAGAAAGCATTTCTAGAATATTCTTACTGTTTAAATCAAATTAAGACTCAATGACAGGGTACCAATGTCTGTGGCATTGTTAACCTATGTGGAAAAAAATATTAGAAACTGTATGGTATCATAAAAAAAGCCATAACAAAATTTTAAAGCCATGTTGATATTTTGAACACTAGAACAATAAGCAGGAAGTGATATATATTTCTGATTCAAAATGCATTTCAAAGCTGCGGTAGTTCCTTTTCCTCCCACAATTGTATGTGCTTAATTTATGTGTAAGTCATCTTCCTGAATTCTCTTAAGCTGCCTGAATTGAATTCAATATTCCAACTTTCTGATCATGGAATAACACTTGAATTTAAAGGTCATAGCCTTTTCTATTACAATGATATTTTTTCCCCTAAGTGTGACCTGCAAACACTTTCACGCTCTCCATGAGATAAAGTTAGTAATTGATCACAGATAAGCAAAATTACTAAATAGGTTAAACATATACACTACCTTTACTTAGGGAATGAACTCTGACAAACAGACAAAATTTAAATTGTAGCTATTACAATTAAAGTAGCCCTGTCTTGTTTCTCTCACTGTTCATTTGTTTCATGTCTTACCTGATAAAGCATGAAACTATTATATTCTGTTTTTAAGAAAAGATGAGATTCACAATAAAATTTAAATATTCCCTATACCTTTCCTTCTCATTTTCTCTCTTGTCCTTTCTAAAATACTCAGAATAATTAAAACATCAGCACCGCACGTCCTAGAGATGTCATTCACCACCCACCCACCCCATCCTCTCCTGCCACCAGTTTCCTTTCACTCCTAACCTCTCTCTAAAGCTAAGGCCAGGGATAGGGAGGCTCCAGGGAGTATAGTATATGGTGGTTACTCTTGTTGAGAGCATAGGGGGAGATTGAGCCTGAAGTGACCATCTCCTTCAGACAGGCAGAAACCCCCCCCCCCAATGGAGCGTTAAGGACACCAACCTACACACAAAACATTTGACACAATTTTTACCTGCCTACAGAAAGTACAGAGACAAAATTGAAACAGAGACTTAAAGAATGGCCAATCAATGACTAGCCCAACTTGTGACCAATACCATGGACAAAACTCACACTATTAATGATACTCTGTTATGCTTGCAGACCGGAGCCTAGCATAACTGTCTTCTGAGAGGCTCCACCAAGAAGCTGACCATAACAGAAGCAGAGACCCACAACTAAAAATTAGGTAGATCTCTCAAAGTCTTGTAGAAGACTCGGGGAAAGGATTCGGGTACCCTGAGGGGATTGGGACTTCAAAAGAAGTCCAACAGTGACAACTAACCTACATCCTTGAATGTTCCCAGTGACTGAAACACCAACCAAAGAGTATATATGGGCTGGACCTAGGCCCTGAACACATACAGCAGATGTGCAGCTTGGTCTTCATGCAGTTTTCCCTACAACTACAATCAGGGATGCCACTGAATCTGTGGCTTGCCTGTGGATTCTGTTTTCCTACCTGTGCTGCCTCAGTGAGAGAGGATGCGCTTAGCCCTGAAATATTATTATGTGTCAGGGTGGGTTGGTATCCAGGAGATATACATAGGAGTAGAGGAGGAGGAATGCATAGAAGGAGTGTATAAGAGAGAGGACTGGAAGGAGATAGGGGGTAGCTGAGAACAGGATACAAAAGGAGTAAATTAATCAATCAATAAAGAAAGAAAATGAAATTTAAGAAAGATGTTATTCCATGAATTAAAATATTTTATAATGAAAACTAGAAAAATATCAGCAAAATGAATACCCGTATACGAGCCTTCAATATTATTGATAAAGCTGTTGGTTGAATTTTCAACTATATAAAAATCTACTTCTGTATGTATCATTTTCCCTGTGTGTTTTATTTTTATTGCTTCCATATCGTTCATCAATGCTGAAATTCTACTTGCTGTTATTTTAGACAATGGTATCTAAATCCCACCACTGTTTAAATTTCTAATATAATTTTTCAATTTAAAGAATCCATCTGAAAAAAAATTTACACTACTTTGATATATTGATTTCCAGCTATTGAATAAATATCATAAATACTTTCTTATTAATTTCATGTAGTATGTAACAAATTAAGGATTAGGTGTGTATCCCTACAATGTATGTCTAAAGTACAATAACAAATAAAGAGGAAAAAATATATCCTTAAAATTACAGGGATTGATTTAACTAAAGAGGCAGTAATTTAAA